GAGAAAGAGAAGGTGGTGGGTGAAGAATATTACCAGCAGTGGCCTAATGTAAGTCTTGAATATGTTCTTAATAAAGTAACTACAGATAGTAACTATAAATAAAGAGAAAAACAAAGAAATAAAGTAAGAAAAACTAGTAAAGAAATTGGCAGAATCGTAGATGTACATAATGATCAACGAACATGATATTATAACAAGTCCTTTATCTATACACCTTGTTCACACACAGTTATAATACAGGTTATATCATGTTTTATATCTTGTGTTAGGACAAGTTTACTACTGCACGGGGGCGCGTGATCATCGTTTTATTAATAAAGTATATAATCATTATTGATATGCAATTCTAGCGTTACTATCTACCTAATATAATAGCTGTTAGTCAAAATTAAATGCTGACAAAAAGCCCAACGGCAGGTGCTAAAAGACAACTCGTCGATATGGTACGATTGGTCGTACATCCTCGCCTGGTTGTCGGTCGGAGTCTCGTTTGGCAGTTCCATACTGTTCTTCTCCGCCGCCATTTGTCTCAGCAAGGAGAAACAACGAGAACAGCAGAATAACGTGCAGTACATAATGCCAGGTTAGACCGCCATTTGCTGCCGCACGGCGGCGGCCATCTTGTTGACAGCTCTAATGCTTGGCGGTTATGGATTTGGAATTGATGCAGGCTCCTTAGTCTTTTGTATATTTTTTTCATTTTTAATAATCATTACATTAATATTTACTATTTCTAAATACCTTTTATATTAATATATATTTACTTTTTATAATTATAGACATCTCTAAAAATGTATAGTATCATAGGTTCTTTATACTGTGTTTATATCTTATTTATATAAATTTTAATTATAACATATTATATTTATAAATTATTTATATTTTTATACCTATCTATATTTTTTCTATGACACTATATTCTTATTTTTTCTAGAACACAAATAAATTTATTGTATATTAAATTTATTTGTGTCTTAGAAATTATATTACATATACATGATTTGTAAATTATCAAAACATATATATTTATATTATATCTATTAAATATACTCCTATATATCTATATCAATTTGGTATTGTGATATATTTTATTTATTATAATAGAATTATTGGACAACCCTCATGACAGCCATAACTTAGCGTAAGTGAATCCCACCCATGTAATTATACCATATACTAACAAAACGCTTTTCTTTCTTTTCATGTTTCTATGAAACTTGGCTACCGCGTTTAACGGACGACGGATTACGACCGGTCAATTAACGCATATAAATAATTGCGCTATTTCTTAATATCTGGTTTACGCCACTGCAATACTAACATGCTTACGGATAATATTAACAATTGTGTGGTGTATATGAACATAATTTACTAAAATTACCAAACATACAATGTACATACAAAACATAAATAACCTAAAAAAACTGTATAATGAAAATTTTATCTGTATGTACATTAATAATGTGCAATTAAATAATCCTGTATATGAAAATTCTGCGTTAATATAATTATATACTGTGCACCGTGCACTTTCCACCCAAATCGTTTTGGAAACCGGTATAAACCAGATATTGCGGGATAACGCGCGCGTTTGGTATGACTGGTCATACATGGTGGCGTGGTGCGGCGTCGGCCTGTCGCTGCTATCCGCCATTTTGTTCTCGTCGGCGGCCATTTGCTTGCGCGGCGAGAGGGAGAGGGAAGAAGCGCTTAACATGCAGTACCTCATGCCCGGTAAATAGCGGTTTCATTTAGGTTACAAATATTCATATCATCTATTGTAAAATATTAATAATAAAAAGAATGAAATTAATGTTTATGTTATGGTAGTCATAAAGACTACTGAAACGGACATCACAACATAATCAAATAGAAACATGAACTCTATTGTAAATATATATCTCATGTGTGTCCCTGGTGTTTATGATCGCATGGGTGTAAAAGTTAAAATGGATGGATAATATTTTGTATTGTTATGTTAATAATTTGAAATCCATAAATTGTTTGAATTTCCTCAATATATATATATGTTTTAAAAATTATAAACGAGTAAATTTTTTTATTTCAATTATATTCAAATTAATTTTACTTGTTCCCCTAATTGAGATCCTCAACCTATAATACTCCATATCAACAGAGGGACGTTATAATGATGATTCCATTAAAACTGTTCTAATATTTGAATTATATCCCCACAGTGTACCCCCAGAAGCAGCAGTACGCGTACGCCGGGTACCCGCCTCCGCAGGCGTACACCGGCCCCTACTACCACGGCTCGCAATACGGGCCCTACAACTACTGAGCATGCGACCAGATGAGGGAGCTCGTGGCGGCACACTTCGCCAACGCGGCGGCGGCCGCCCCACAGGCGCCCGCAAGGAACGCCTCGCCCGCCAACTACCCGAACCACCCACCCTCGCCCTCCCTGCAGACCTACAACTCCCACCGTAAGATAAAGCGGCCCAAGCTCGGCGACAAGAAAGTCTATCGCCCGGTCCGGAGGCACACGCTGTCCAGAATAGACGAGACTCCACCTCACACGCTCAGACCCAGGTCGAGGAGTCTCCAGCACTCTACGGACTTTTCATCGACGCGGCCGATCCTCCGCTCCCGGTCGAACATCTCGGCGGACACGAGCCGGAGCGTGCCTGTGTGCAACCAGAGTCAGGAGGTCGAGAACCAGGTAGAGTCCAGCAGCCCGCAGTACGCGGAACCGAAGGGCTATGATTCGGCATCCTCGCACGATGATCGCGTCGTGTCCATGTCGGATCTACCGATCATGGTGCCTTTGGATCCTTCTACCAGCGCGTACATTGCTTATCCGGAGTACTTTAGGGACAGCGGCTGCAAACTCAACCCTTACAGGTGGAAACGAAAGCGGACGAAGAAGTCCTCTTCGAAACACAACAATTTATATTTAGCGTTCATGTACTAGTTGCGCGGGTAGGTAGTTTACGGGATCAAACCATCAATAACACAATGGTTACGAGTTTCGATCGAATGCCGTTCAGTGTATGACGCCACAACCCATGATTTTTCATTCAAAAAGTACCTTATACACTATCCTTGATACTCATACACTGCGTCTTAAAATAAATGGGTGGCCCGAATCTGGTTGTGTGATAGAACTATTACTATTGGCACATTTATTTTGGCCGCAGCAAGAGTTCGGATCTTATAAGTACCTTCTAAAACGGCTTCAAACAGTCGCCTAATAAAGGAACTCTCGCTGGGCCTCTGAGCACGGCTTTACGAAACTCTGACACCACTGGTCTTTTCGAAACTTAATGATGTTTCATTTCGAACAAACATCTCCATAACGAATTTAGTTAATATTTTTAACAAGGTGTACTTACTTATATGAGATGAGTGGATACTATAGTTTAGGAGTAAGTGTATAAGGTGTGTGACTCCGCCATAAGAGTATCGCGATTGAACAAAACGTTTAGTTGTAAGATGTAATGAACAAATTCGTCATAAAAAAAAAAACGCAATGACAATATATTAAACAAAATATATAGATATTGTAATATCGTGCCTTTCCTCCTATATCGTATATTGTAATTGAAATGCTCATTTATACATTCAAATTTAGAATATACATATCATAAGTGAATTAAATTATAACTTTATAGTTCAATATTATATAAGTATTGTAGAACCGTACCAATAAGTCGATACGAAATTTGTAATGAAAGAAATACGATATATATATTGTTATATACATATATTAACATTTCTTTCTTGTATATTTAAAATAATAAATTTGTCTAGTTAAAAGTGATCGTGGGACTGACTAAGAGGTATAAGATCGTCCTGAGTGAGACCTAGTAAGTACATTTACTCACACTTTCTATTATGAGATGTATTTATTTCGTCAGAATATTTATATATTGAATTAGTTAGGACCGCGGACTCTTGTAAATTAATTTAATATTAATTGTCAAATATCGTATCTCTACGGAGATTACACAGTTATTTTGTCATTTGAAATGTATTTAAAATTTTCTAAATAAAAAAAAATGTAAAATATATACACTTTTTTTTTTATTTCTTCCTACGCTAAATCAGTATCGATATTGTCGACAAAGAAATAATTCATTGGTTTTCTAGTAGAATGTGTGTATTATAATTTTCCGTGTGGTCCCGGCATAGAATTGACTATCCCCTCGTCTGTGTCGTAAGAGTTGACTAGGGGAACTTAATGGTCGAGAAATGAAAGACTTTGGACGCTGTTTTCCAAGATAAAATATCACCCAAGCCTACCTGCAGCTGGCAAACTTCCTTTAGGGGGAGGCTGGAGGAGGGGGGATATATAATAAGCTTTAAGATTATGATAATAGAATGTGAGATGTTTATAACCGACTTGAGGATAAGTACACCTGGAATTTAGCACCATCATTTCCAGGGGGGACTACGGGGAGGTCGATCTGCTGCTATTGCTAGCAATTGGGCTGTTAGTCTACATTACTAACAATCCCTTCCCCCCTCCATTCCGATACAGGGTTGTAAAAAGTATAAAACCAAGCCGCAACTTGGTGATAGTATTCACAAAAGTGTTTTTTGAAATTTCTATACAAGCCACGTGGTCATGTGAACGATTTAGTATGAGAGATCGATAATATATTTTCAGATTTTGACTTTGTAGGTCAAATCGTTCAGTTTCATTATAATAACCCTATATATAGATTATGCCTATATGTCTAGCTTTTAACTCGCGACTTCGTCCGCGTGGCCTAAATATATTTATTAACCGAAATTAAAATATCCTATGTCCGTCTCCATCCCATGTAGTACGTGTATACTAAATTTTAAAGTGTTGGTTAAGCCGTTAATGCATTATAAAGTAACAAACAAACTCACTTTCGCATTTATAATAATAATATATATAATAATACATAAAAACAAATCTTGGGTGGTATTAAAATAATTTGGTTCAAATTTTAACATTCTTTTTGAAGCACTTTTTTTAGTGTATATATAGGTAATAAAAAAATGCATTAAAAATAATACAAAAAGTTATATTTAATACTTTGTACAAAAATATGCATTTAATATGGCGTTACTGGACGTAACTCGAATGGAATGATCGTTACTAATAATACAATAAACACACAATGGATGCAATATAAAAAAAAAAATATATCGTGTATGAAAATAAAAACACTGAAAACAATCAATCAACTTAGCACGTGGACCTAGAAATGTCTTCTAACGTTTCACAAATATTACACGTAATTATAAATATAATAGGTATATTATTGCATGAATATTAACGATATCTTTATATACGTTAAAATATATCGAATATCTATATATTTAAATAAAATTTCAAAATCTACCTGCAATATCCGAATTTCCAATTTCAAAATGGTTTTTCTGTTTGAATGTCCCGAATCTAAGTTAAAGTAGATTACAAAAGTATCAATTTATAGCATATTTGGTATATCATTACATTTCATAGGGTCATTTTGTATAGTTTTAAACGTAAATAAAAATTGTAATGTCCAATGGATAAAATAAATTTAAAGATTAATATAATAGAAACATTTCTAAGAACATATTATGAATAAAATTATATTGGTGTATCAATAATGGGTCCAGGATGAGAAATAGCCTGTTTTCTTTCCTGCACAGCCGTGACTAACTTTCTGTAGGGTCCGAGCGGAAGACCCAGTGACCTCAAATCGCTTTCAGTGAGCAGCATGAGGGCATCCAAGTCTATTTGTTCGTCCTTGAACTTCTGCACGTACTGGCCCAGGCCCCAGGCGGTGAGGAAACGCTCGAGGGATGCATACCCTGACTCTTCGGCTTCACCTTCCTCGTCTGATGACACTGTTGAACTTTCTGAAAGTCATATTGTTTCATGTAATATTTATAAAAACAAATATTATTTATGGATTTAAAATAAACATGTGCAATCCACGTCGAAACGTCGGTAATAAAGAAACAGATATGTAGGTACTATTTACCTGCAATTGTTTTTGCATAGCATTAAGTCCCGATTGTGTATTTAAAATAGGAGAAAACAAGGCGAATATAAAAAAAAAGTGTTCATCAACAAATATTAAAAATTGATGACATTCATGTCAACTATGTTAGAACCTTAGATTATGTAGACAGAGTGTCACAAATTCTTCAGAAACTGTCAAATTTTTATCTGTGTGCGTAAATTGGGTTACTAGTATGTATAGTATAAGGTTAAATTGAAAATTAAAAACGATAAAAAATACTTACGCATTTATTTAAAAGAACGGAATAAACAGAGTATAATGATTTATGAAGATGCTTATCTTTACTGATTACTTTGATTTATATCTAAATATAGACATAAAATGTGTTTTATATCATGTCATTGAAAATAGCCGCCAGTTTAATCAATATATGTATATTAATTTGTAAACAGTAAGTATATATGTATATTTATGCCAGAAAAATTGTTATCAACTCATATTTAAAAAATCGACTCGATCTGGGAATTTTGTTTTTTTTTCTTCTTGCAACTGACAAAATGTGTACCAAAATTTTGTCAGCCGTATGTGACTTTAGCTAACTAAATTTTGAGCCGTTTTTGACACTCAACTCCATCTCTTCAAGGTTAGTTTAATCATGAAAGACCAAATGGGCTACTCTCGAAGTAACTTGACCGACGTATCAAAATAGATGTAGGTACATGGGAATAATCACATTTCACGTATTTTTTTTTATAATGGCCTGATCCATAGCTACTAGATAAATTGTTATTTATATTATGAATTTACCAGATTGATTCCATTCAGCGGGCTGGTAGGCGTGCCTAGCAGCTAGAGAGCCCGCAGAGCCAATGGACAAGTCCTCGCCCGCTGTGCCGGCCGGCAACGCGCTCAGTGTCGCTGTTATAGACCGCCTGTACATTAAATTTTTATATGTAATTAATTTTGTTTTCCCATTTATTTGCTCATCACGTTATACTGTGAATTATTCTTGTCTATGGTCTATTGGTAGATAACGCCATATGGTGTTAAGTCCGGCATTTACAATAAGCGTATTCAAGTCTAAAATAAACATACTAAAAGTATATTTAATCTTGATTATTCCATTATTATATTATTTCTTATTTACAGAATGTTATTATGTACTTACATAAATACTTAATTATTTGACAATACTAATTCAGTGTTGACCATGAATTATTATCTTAAAATGTATCAGATTGAATCAGCATTTGAATCTATACCTCTCAGCTATATGAGCTAAGTAACTAAAAAGAAAAGTTTTTTTTTTGCAAATTAGAATGGCCTACGTAATGGAAAGTGGTAACCGTCGCCTATAAATATGAACAGTACCATGGACATAATAGAGTATACTGTATTGCTCATGAGACACTTTATGCGTTGCCATTCAGGAAAACTAAGCTGTTATGCCTCTGTACTCTGTAATTTCATTGTCATCTCTCACCCTTGATACTGAAACAACTGCTTCACAGCAGAAACACGAATGAGACAAAAGTACTCAAGCAGATGACTTTTATACAGTCACCCTCTGTTCTCAGTTTTCTGGTGTATACCTATATTAATAAATTATTATTATTTGTATAGAATTACTTTAAAAGTATACCATATTGGTTACAATACAATACAATGTAACCAAAGTATAACATTCAATTTAAGAGCTAGGTTACAATTAATAGAGAAATATTAGGATAGAAGGAATAACAAGAACGCTTTTATAGAATTATAAGAATTCATTTGAAAGAAGAAATAATAGACAAGAATGGAATTTGATAGGTCGATGAAGTTCTAAGTGAGATGAGATCTAAATGAAGAGAAAGATCATGAAAAAAGTGGATAGCTTATGATTGTATGACGTATCTAAGTAGGTAAATATAGAATTAACAGTGATCTAATATCATAGTAATTATTCATACCTATTTTTTAATACTTCAATTTCATATTTGCGCCTATATGGCATACCCATTATCAATAACAATTCATTAAGTGGGCTGAATACTGATTTTATTATCTTCAGTGTTTGTTGGCGTCGTTTAATTGTGTTTATCTTAGGTCTTTATCTAATGATTAGATTCGATTAAAAACGTAGATAGAGAATAGAATCTACGGAGTCTTCCTTATCTATAATTAGAATAATCAGGACTGCAGGTACTATCCTTAATCTATGAGAATATTAAATTTTTATTAACAATTCAAAGTATCCAATATCTTTGTTAACGATATAGCAATATAAGGGAGTTTCAATAATAGTTTAGATTCAAAATTATATAAGTTACATTTATAATTAAACTTAAAACTTTAAATTTAAAATCTTAAAAGAAAAATGATTCAGTAAAACGTTCTTGATAAAATTTTTATGTGACTAATTCGTAAGTTTATACTTTTGTAAAAAAAAAGAATTATTTAAATCGGTTTATAAATGATGGAGTTCTGAGTTACAAATATATTTAAAAAAGAATACAACTGAATTTAGTATCCTTTCCTTTTTTAAAATCGATTGATAAAAATATGCTCACGTTCATAATACCTGATGTGGTAGTCAGAGGTATTTTTTATGAGTGATAATGTAATTGGTTGTATTGGTAAGATTTAAGGAGGACCACGTGGAAGTCGACCTTATAGTGTTTATTGCTAACACCGAGTAAATAGAAGAGATATATTTAGCAAAACATTTACCTTACACATCAAATAATTTAAATTATTATATTTATTACATTAAATGCTTGAGAATTTTACCTGAAAGCGACACTTCCGAATCCTGGTCTGTCGAAAATGCTGGCTGGCTCTTGTAGTAACACTTCCTGACCAATCCCACTGTCGTCATTTGGTGGAATTGTAAAGTCTGGCTGACTTGCTGATCTGGAATATTTGGAAAGTTCATTAATTATTTTCTCTCTAATTACACTGGGTTGGCTGGAAGAGATCTCTTTTAAAGATAAGCCCTCTCTTGCTAACAAGTTTTTATTTTTTTCTGCTCTACCCAAAGGTTTTTTGTATTATATTCTAAGCGGTGTAATAAAAAGTAAATAAATATATAAACAATACGTGAATCAGAATATATATATATATATATATATATATATATATATATATATATATATATATATATATATACGGGCGCACCTGGTAAGCTGCGGCTTGGTAGAGTCCTCTCCGAAGACGTCTGCGACCGGCGCACGCGGTTGCGGGCCCGCGCCGAATGTACCCACGTACATCACTTCCGAGTCGCGCCGCAGCCCCGTCAGCGACGTCACTGACCGCCGACCCGTCGTCTCCACCTCACCCACCTGGGGTGGGCAGGGATTGTTAATAATGGATAATTTGAAGGGTGGGAAACGGGTAGTTTGTAATGCGGACTACCAGTCCTATTGCTAGTAATATACCATGTCTAGTCAAACACCACGTGCCCCCCCCCCCCCTGGAAACCATCGTGCTGAATTTCTGGTGTATACGTCATGATGGGCTAACTTGACCTGCCTTTTCATTGTATCTATCATCTCACACTAGTGCCCCGCCAACGTATACCGTTAGCGCAGGCGGGGGGTTACCATTCCATTGTCATCTATTAAGAAAAGGTTTGAAGAGTAGGTAGGTGGTGGTAAAATTACAGGGTACATATGAAGTCAGTCTTTAAAAATGGCATAGCAGGAGGGGTATCGCGGGTACACAGTATTCTGTAACGTTCACGGTCCCCTTCGTGTTACTGTTTTCCATCAGGTGGGCTGTCATTCTTTGCCGTTCGAAGTTTTATAAAAAAGAAGTGGGTAATAAATGATCCCATTTCTAACGATATTCCCTATTTATTTATTTTTACTTTTGCGCAGATTAAGTCTATAAGGCGGACTAAATGCTTGATTGTATTCTCTACCAGGTAACCTAACAGGCTAATTTTTATTGTATTTAGTATAATGGGCTAATACATTCGCTTTCATCTTCACGTATCATCTCTCACTGGTGGAGCACCGGCCAGCGTATTTCGATAGCGCAGGCGAGGTTACCATTTTATTTCGACTATTGAAAAAAGAAATAAAAAGCCTTACCATTTACAATTTAAATCACATTTATAATTTTTTACAGTATTTTTAAAGTATATTTGCAGTTTTACATTGGAAATAAATGTCCTGAAGTTCAAGCTTCAAATCTGGTGTTTACTTTATCTGATGATTTGTGTTCTTGAAATGCTGTCTAAAATGGGTCTATTTCATTAGTTTTTATATCAGTAAAAGCTTTTTCTTTATACTAACTAATGGCAAACAAGTTTACGGCCTACCTGATGACTGATAGTCGTTGGCTATATATGATCATAGACAAAAGTTTTTTTTGGATTAAATAATTTTTAGAAAAGAATGAATCAGTAGCCGCCCTAGATGGATGAATGAGTTGAGAGGTCGATATGGGCTATTTTTAGGTAACATTTGTCGACCAAATAGATGACGCGCTAAAGAAGACCTAAATTAAGGGGACGTTTAATCAACGAATTTTGTATGAAAAAGGGACTGTTTAAATAGCATTTGGAGTTCTATAATTGTGCCTACCCCAATGGTAGACAGACGTGACATATATTTAAGCAAAAAATTGAATTTTGGAACGAAATAAAAATCGAATCTGGCAACACTGGTTGTTCTTCAAAAGGATTAGATTTCAGGGCCGATTAAAACGTTTCTATACCTTAAAATCGTCATTGGGTCCTGTTCTCCCAACTGTGTTGTTGCGCAGTTTGCTAGCAAGCGCCTTTTTGTAGACGGCTCCGCGACCCTTTGCTCCAGAGTTCACCGTACCTACTAACGAGCTATACGTAGGTCGTGGTTGGTCTTCCGCTAGGAGGTTTCCTGAAAGATAAATTAACGGGTTATGTTAATGCGAATGCGAAAAAACACGCAAAAGACTGGGAGAACTGATAAGCTGGCAACACTAGTTGAGTTAGCTGTCAAACTAAATTGATAAGCATGTAATGTTACTTTTGTTGTTTGTAATCTAAAATTAATTAAAGCTTTATTTCAATATTTTTGTTTTTCAACATTCCAATGATGCTGTTTGATAAATAAAAGTGCTTTTAATTTATCTAGTAATTAAGAAGCGATCGTGTTACGTAATACATTTATTTTTTTACATTTGTAAAAAATATAGACAGTAGATTGGCTGATATTTATTAATTAATATTTACCTTGGCTAGACGACCTGGTCATCTTCTGTTTAAGCGCCAGAAGTACATTACTCGGCCGATGCGGCATCGGCGTCACGTCCTCATTGTAACCTTGCTCCCATTCTTTTGCTAACTTTTTGAATTCCTTTTCCGCCATCACCTCTGCCTTACTCTGTCTCTTTTGATATTGTTTCTGATATTTCTCGTAGTCTTTCTTTGCTTTTTCTTTCAGTGCTTTTGATTTTTTCCTATAATATTTTACCGAAATATAATTTAGTTGAAAATTTATACTAATTAAAAAAAAACGCCCTTAAAGTATGTTTCAACTGAACGGAATGAAAAATTGTTGACTGGTAGAGGTCTGTTAAGTATACATTACATTTACACCAGGCATTAAAGTTTAAATAAATAAATTATACTCACTTATCATTATTCTCCAACTTTGCCGTCGCCTGATCTAAGTATCTCAATATATCCTCTCTGCCATTGATGGCGGCTAACTCCTGAGCAGTGTGGCCGTCGACGTCCATGGCGAACACATTTGCTCCGAAGTTGACCAGAAATGTGACGCACTCCTTGTATCCCCTCGCTGCTGCGAAGTGCAATGCTGTATTACCGAAGTAATCAGCTTTGTCGGGCTCGCCTCTGAAGAATTAATAAGTAATAAGTCTACAAATAGGTGGACATAATAGAATAAGGAATCACTAATTTTAAGTACATTATATTTTACTAGTCTTTAATCGCTATTTTTTTCACGCAACGCGACAAAGCGAGGTATCGATGATGGAATACAAGTAGGAGAAATAGGCGAGGAAGAAGTCAGGTTGACCTGACTTCATCCTCACTCACCTTCCCACCCATTCAGGGGGAAGGGATTGTTAGTCTTCATTGCTACCAATATACCCTATTAGATCAACCTCCACGCGGTTCCGCTTGGAAACTATCGTGACTAATTTATCGTTGAATTCGTCACGATGGGCTAACTCACCTGCCTTTTCATCCTCACCTATTATCCCTGGTGTCTTGCTAGTATATACAGATAGGGCAGGCGAGGTTACTACACTATTTTCACCTATTAAAACCCACCCATTTAGGGGGAAAAGGGTTGTTACTAACGGGATTTAACAGCGACATTGTTAGCAATATATCCACCGTAGGGTGACCTCCGTGCGGTTTCCCAAAGAAACCATCGTAGTTAATTGTTGTCGATTCAAGAAACTCAACTATGCTTTTTTAATTATACAGCACTATCATACCTACTTTTAGTCGATTACCTTAAGGTTGTCTTGAAAAGATTGCTCTCAGCAATAAGACCGCCTTACTGTACTTATACAATTGTATCGTTGTGTTTGTAAATTGCCTTGCTTATTTCCTATATTGTATAATGCATATAAAGTATATTCATTCATTCATTCATTATTATGACTTCATCTTCACGTATCTTCTCTCACTGATGCTCTGCTAGCGTATACCGATAAAGACTAAAAAAGACGCACCCACCACTCTGTCATCTCCTACTAGTACTCGGCTAGCATAAATTAATAGCACTGGCAGATTCCCATGCCATTTTTTTCATAGAATATACATATAACAGTCTATAACTTTGCCATGTGGTCCTGGCATAGAATGGGTCACCCCTTCCTTTCGCGTGGTTATCGTAAGAAGCGACTAAGGGAAGGCGAGGGATGGGCAGCAGTGTGCCTTTTAAAACACTTGTAAAACTTGACTGCGGTTGCCAAATGTGGCAACTACTGGTAAACCCCCCAAGGGGGAGGCTTATGTTCATCAGTGGACAGTTAAGGGCTGATATGATGATGATGATGCCATATCCTTACTATTAAACGTACTTTTGACCTGTTATTACTATAATGTTTCTATTTTTGGAGCAATTTGTTCTATTTCTCTATAATAGGAGCTAATCTAATCATTCAAGATTTATTTTGATTACTAACGATATTTAAATATGATAATTGTATCGCTCTTTGATCTGATATCTAATCACAAGGTTAGAACTCTTTATATATACCGACAATATAAGTATCTAATTAGATACGCCTCGTGGCTTTGCTCGCGTGAATCTGTTTAATTAAAATTAACTTATATGTTAATTATTGTGGCCTACCTGTGAACTATCTAATTATCTATATGAGTACTTACATATAAAACATCGTTACAAACTTACACTATGATAACTATTAGTAGAATGGTTCTTCCTTTGGCGCAATTTTCTTACTTTATTTTTTATTTTTATGCAACTCATAATGGCAAACAAGCTAACAGTCCACCTGATGGAAAATGGTAACTGTCGCTTATACGTATGAGAAGTACCATGGACATAACAGAGTATACTGTTTTGCCCATGATACCCCTCTGGCTTTGCCATTCTTAAGGACTAAGGTGTTATTCCTTTGTAGCTTGTAAATTCACTGTCATATCCCACTCTTCAAACCGAAACACAGCCATGCAAACACGACTGCTTTACAGTTGAAACACGAATGTGACAGAGGTACCCAAGCAAACGACTTTTGTACAAAGTCTCACTCTGGTACTTACTAATACATTTTTTTTTTCATTTATTTATTCTTTATTGACTACATTACAAAAAATGTTTGGTACAAAAGGCGGGCTTAATGCTATATAGCATTCTCTTCTAGTCAATCTTTACAGTTAGTAACAAACTTACTTTTAAACCGTATGGTTTAAAAGTATTTTTAATACGATATTTATAGACATGCACAACGGGAATTTAACCAGTTTACTGTGATTGATGTTTAATTGACAATTTCATTCGGAAGTCGAAACAGAACTCACTAGAAACAAAGACGAGAATCCTTCGCTGCTTCTGTCATCTGAGCCGTCTCTTATCACCGCTATGTCTGTTCCCAACACCGCCTGTATCGACGTCTGCATGGGTTTTGCGAGACGAGACGCTGTGACTTAAAGTGCCGTACGCCCCCTGAAGAGGACTTTCGGATAAAGTACAAACAATTGTCGCAAACGACAAACGCAATAAGTTCGTAAAATTTCCGTTGTGCATGTATATATAGACATTGTAATAAAGTTGTCTATAAATGGACTATATTTAAGAAAAATCAATATATGGGTCTTAACAAGACTAACAAATGTTAAAGGACATAAGATAACAACAAAGAAATACAACCGAATTGAGAAGCTTCTTCTTTCTTGAAGTTAGTTGAAAATTGATGAACATATAGGTAAATAAACAGACCCCAAACATCAATCGCTCAGCAAGATTAGCGTAGAATTGGATGAACATTGTAAAAAGTCAAAATTAGTTGAATACATGCAACAACTTATGGTTATTGGCGTATAGGGGATTCTCAAACATGGTGTTTTCATTGATTTTGGTAATTAATATGTGCAGGAATGCGCGTGTACGCTGTCCTAATGATAAGAGTTGCAAAAAAAAATATTTTTATTCATTTAAATGATTCAAAGGTTGTGGCTATGACTGAATCTTATTTGAAGCATTTTTCGTCATTTGCAGGTGCAAATTATTTCGTGCGCACAGGCCCTTATGCCTATACTGAATTTAGATCATAAAGTAGTACTTAGTCTATGATATCCAATACACATCACGTGACCACCGTGTAGGTCACTGTTATTGATGATAATCTATGATATCTTTTATTTTTATTGTAAAAGTAATGATGACTACGCATTATACGGTGATACGATTATGACACACTTTCTTATGATCCATTCCTGTGCTTTAAACGAGTATCATCAAATGCTTCAAAGGTATAACATTTTTCAATTAAATCGGTTCTTTTGTACAGTTTCCCTGTGGTACTCTCATTCACCTTAATCAATATTATAAAGAGGAATTTTTGATTTTTTTTTTTGATTCTTTTTTAATCAACCGATTTTAAAACTTCTTCCACCTTTACAAATTTACATGATCAATGATTTACACAGGCTGTATTTTAGTCTAAAAAATATTATAATATGTTTTTCAAGTAATTTGTAAAAATATTATTAAGGTACTAATTATGTAGAGTGATTTCATAATACTTATAATTATCATTTGTACTTTATGAAATCATTACAAACCCAAACTTACAGATAGACATCATTTACATGGTAATTTTGTGCATAACACTGGTACAGTTTCGCAGTTAATTTAGCGTTACTTATCATATTAAAGTGTCATTGCTTGTTTGGAGTTGTAAAAAGTGAAAGCTAGGACCGTGCTGTGATGAGGTAAGAAGCGGTCGAGTTTAAAGAAAATTCCAGATAACTCGACGCCGCTACGCAAGAACAATGCGCGAAAACGACAGTGAAAAATTATACTGTATGAGTATATTCCAGTAATGAGTAATTATTTTATTGGAATTATTACCATTTGTAATTAGAATAACTTTATTAGATTACTGTTGATTGTTTCTGTTATCGTGGTAACGTTGATAATCATATTTTTATTGTATTACGACGGACTTCATTTACTAAAGGGCTATACTTGAATAATTACGGAATAAAGATAAGGCGACGCCTTTGAATTGCAGTTTATGATAAGTACTTACTACGTTACAAAAAGCAACCTTACCTAAACTGGTAGGTATTTAGTAAAGTTTAATCGTTTTTACACAGGTATAATAAAATTTTAGACAGATTTTTTTGTTAAACTGTAATCGACATAAATCGTTGAATCAAGTATTTATAAATAACGTTTTTATATTAGTAACTAGAAAAAATAAGAACTAGAAATAATAAAAAACAGAATGAAATCATCACACGATGATAGTACTGACGCTGTTTTAAATGTAATTAATAACTAACTATTTCACTATTAAAAAAATACATTTCTATTTAATTTAAATTTGCACAATAACAAATCAGCCATCTGTTATGGGATGCCTGTAAGAGGTTTTGTCAGAATTTATTATTATATTACTATATCTATTTGTTCTCCATTAACCAAAGGTTGCCCTAGTGATAAGACCGCACTTTGTACCTTCTTATGCCCATAATTTGATCTGTACTTTATTCTATTGTGTTTTAATTGAATTTTCTAATTGTCATTAAATATTTTTATGTATTAGGTGCAATAAAGAGTTAAACAAATGAATAAAATTATAATTAAATACTAACCCTCTCCCACATAACAGTCTCAGAGCCTCGATGTGCCCTTCGAAGGCGGCCCACAGGGTGGGGGTCATGCCCGACTCGTCCTTGTTGTTGCATTCCTTCCTTGTTGCTTCTCGTAACACGTCGAGCAGGCCATCTTTGGCCGCTCTGAAACAGCAAATGTATTTACATTAATAATTATTACTAACTAGCTATATTTTGCGACTTCACCCGCTTGTATCAGCACATAAAGTATATATACGCTAATGTTTATGTGTGCTGAGTTAGGAAATAACCTTCGAGTGTTACAAATAATCAAATCTGTTCAGTAGTTTTTGCGTGAAACAGTACAAAAACACCTAATAAAATTTTGCGTTCGTAATTCAAATTTTTTTTTCAAATACACTAGTTGGGGGAAGAGATTGTTAATAAAGCGGACTGTCAGTCCCATTGCTAGCAATATCAGGTCGACTTCCACGTGCCCCCTCCCCTGAAAAATATCGTGCTGAATTCCAGGTATATTTATTTATTTGTACCGTGAAGCAGTTGTGTTTGCATGGCTATGTTTCGGTTTGAAGGGTGGGATATGGCGTGAATTTACAGGGTACAGAGAAATAACACTTGAGTCCTCAGGAATGGCAACGCATGGGGGGTATTATGGGCGAAACAGTATACTCTGTTATGTCCATGGTACTGCTCATGTCTATAGGCGACGGTTATCACTTTCCATTAGGTGGGCCGTCAGCTAGTTTGCCATTCTAAGTTGTATAAAAAAAAGGCGGAATTACTACTCCATTCCACTGGGATTTGATACTAATTATTTATATAATAATAATCGACGTTGTTATTTTACTATCTCAAGGGAAGCTGTGAAATATTAACTCCAATATCGAAAAATACTCAATAAAAAATAGGATTACTATGTAGAGACATGAAGAATAAATATGTTATAAATGTAATTGTTCTTCCGCTGGGATCTCATATACCGTCACAGCACCAGATCGCTCTTGGGAACTAAGATTATCTGTCTCTTATTTAGTGGATTTAATGGATGATAATGGAATGGTAGCCTCGTCTGCACTATTGGTATACACCGGCGGGGCTCCAGTGAGGGATGATAAGTGAAAATAAAAGAGCAGGTCAGTTAGTCCATCGTGATAAATACACATGGAATTCAGTACGATGGTTTCCAGGGAGACCACGTGGAGGTCGACCTGACGGGGTTTATTTCTAATAATGGTACTGGTAGTTCGCATTACTAACAATCCCTCCCCCCCTTATTTAGTGGGTTATCCTTAATATTCAACACCGCTTTAATAGAGGACGAAAAATTGTGATCTACTGATAAGATACAAAATTGTTATCAAAACAATAAAGACCGCCTTTGGTTTGTAATAGATTAAAAGAACCTTCTTTTATCTCTAATTAATTGGTAATATATTTTTTTATTATTAGTGCTGCATAATGAGCTTATCTTAATGGTTACCTTTATCTTATAGATTGATAAAAAACAAAGTAATAAATAACGCAGGGTTTTCACGGTATTGATATGCAGGACACTAGCATCTGCCGCCGGTGATTGGGACGACTGTAAATCGCGAGCCCCAGTCACCGGCACACGGCGCTGAGAGGAATTCCGAGGTGGTTTTTAGTGGGTAAAAATCCTACAGTACCCACCGTCATCCCGCTGGCGGTGGGTCTCTTTCTGAAGATTTTCCCCTCGATCAAAAAAAAAAAGGACACTAGCATCTATGTTGCCCAAGGGAACCATTAAAAACTCAAATGAACTCGAAAATTAATTAAATCTACTATTGATTAAAAATTATTTTGTTTAATTCCGCATACATTTGTACCATTGGTAGTGGAATTAAACAAAATAATTCTTATCACTGATAAGGACTTCCGCAAAATAACACCTAGTTAAGTAAATTTAGTGTTTTATGTAATGGCGTAATGATTTGTTCACTAATTGAATATTGGTTAGCAAACTGTGAAAACTGTCTATATTCGGTGTTTCTCTAAGTGAATTTACAGGTTACAAACGAATAACACCTGAGTTCTCAGAAATGGTAACGCATGGGGGTTATCATGGGCGAAACAGTATACTCTATTATGTCCATGGTACTGCTAAAGTCTGTAGCCAACGGTTACCACATTCCATCAGGTGGGCCGTCAGGTTGTTTGCCATTCTAAGTTGCACAAAAAAAGTGATATAAAACGAAGCAATTAGACAGAAAACCAACATAGTTTAACGAATTTGCAAGCTGAAGTGGCAGCGGACTGGTCATATCTGTCCTAGAACCGACAATCGCTGGAGTAGGTGTGTTCAAAGGTGGAGATTACGATTTGAAAACTTTAACGAGAGTAGACTTTTTTAATAGGTGAAAATGGAATGGTAACCCCATCTGTGTGTCGGTATACGCCTGGTGGGGCACCAGAGAAGAATGACAAGTGAGAATGAAGGCAGGCCAGTTGACTTATAGTGATCAATATAACAAGATTTAACCACGATGGTTTCTAGGGGGAAGCATTGTTATATGGTTGACGTTCCACCTATTCATAACAAGCGCTTGGCTTCATCGTTATTTATATGAACAGGCAGAATGGAAATCTCTTCCAGCGTCTGTGTTTTCAAATTTTTTAATACGTAGTCTTTCAATGTTAGAGAGAATATCCTCATGTTATTTAACTCCAGGTGAGTTTGTACTCAAATGCGATATGTCATGCTCCTACCATGACGACGGATCTGTCTGTCACCACTGTCACCACGGCAACCTTATGCATGCCAGTTCCATAGCACTGATCGATGTACTGATAAGGAAGACCCGTTATGCAAAAACAGTTCTTCAAAACTGTGCACTATTGGTTCAAATTCGATGTCGTACAATTTTGTTTCACCCTATGTGACCATGTGCATCCAACCGCGAAGGTGCCGGCTGTAGTTGTAAACGATAAACTTAAATAGAAAGGCTACTGCCCTTAAAACATGTTAGGGCATTAGCTTTGTTGACATTTCCTGCAACTTGAAATGGCAAATAGGCAGTATGTTGTGTTATAACTAGTACATATCTATTAAGAATAATTTTTTTTAGATAATTTAATTAGATGGAAATCAATATTATTTAGAATAGTTTATACATGAGAAAAAATCTGTCTAAACATAAGAATTGATATTTACTTTAATCTTGATAGCGGTTTTAACTTAAGGATATTTTAGGTATAACTAGCATCGTAAATAATGATTTTCGATCATTCAGTTACATTACCAGAGTTATTTTACCAGAGGGAGACTTTGTACAAAAGTCGATTGCTTGGGTACCTCTGTCCCATTCGTGTTGCAACCGTGAAGCAGTTGTGTTTGCATGGCTGTGTTTCGGTTTGAAGGGTGGGATATGGCGTGAATTTACTGGGTACAGAGGAATAACACCTGAGTCCTCAGGAATGGCAACGCATGGGGGGTATCATGGGCGAAACAGTATACTCTGTTGTGTCCATGGTACTTTTCATGTCTATAGGCGACGGTTACCATTACCACTTTCCATCAGGTGGGCCGTCAGCTTGTTTGCCATTCTAAGTTGTATAAAAAAAAAACCATTAAACATCTACAAAAATATATAATATAGACTTGTCAAAAATATAACAGTACTGTTTTTTTTTTGGCATTTCGTTGCATAATCCAAAATTTCTAAATATTAGAGGCATTGTATTTTACCATATATCGCGTATAATAAATGTCATAGAAAGATGCTGCGTGACTGATTATCAGTGCTGGCACACAATGCTAATATGAAAATAAGTAACCTGCATTGACTGGGTTATTGAAATGTTATTTAATTGTACCCTGCGTGCACGGAAACGACGGTAACGCGTAGGAGACACGCTTCGCGGACTGTCAAAATAGTTCAATGTCCTACATAAAATTCATGTTTTGCGGTGAGAGCGCTAATATAAATGTATTCATCATGGTGTAAGAGATTCCGCGTTTATTGAAATGATAGTGAACAGAGCATATACGTGACATATGGTAGACGTTTTTGACATTTACTATTAACAAAAATTTTTGTATATCTAACAATGATTGATAATAGGAAACTTAATTTGCATGCTATAGAATTTTAGCAAGACATGTGCACACTTAAATATAATTATAACATCACTATATACCATGCTTAAAGCAAATAAATATTTATTATTATTACTATACTTGTCTTTTAAATTTCTCAGCTTTTAACGCTGGTAATTATACTACACTTACGGGTACGTGACCAAGTAAGTGCAGTGTGTATGTTTTGTATGGAAGGTTATGCTTGTGTATGACGGGTGGCTACTTCATCCTCATCCATATTTAAGATTTTTCTGACTATTCTGCAAGATTATTATTATTATTATAATTATAGGGTTACTGCTGTTTTCAATTGATGAAAATGGAATAGTAATACCATAATTGCTATCAGTATACGCTAGTAGGGTTCCACCATTCCAGTGAGGGATGATAGTTAAGAATAAAGTCAGATCGGTTGGTCCATTGTAACAAATTCACGAGTGATTAAAGGGAGCGGACGACATGGAAGTTGATCAGGCAGGGTATTTTTATAGCTGCTATACCCTATTGATAATAATCACCTTCGTCCTGATTGCTCTGTTTGTTAATTCTGCATTAAGAATTGATCAATTGGCAATGCAAAATGATGTTACAGTTTGGCACCATTGCTAGCAATATCAGCCCGACCTTCCTGTGGTCCCTTCTGGTAACCATCGTGCTGAATTCCAGGTATATTCATCCCCGCCTGTGCTAACGATATACGCTGGCGGGACACCAGTGAGGGGTGATATGTGAGGATGTAAAGGCAGGTCAGTTAGCCCATCCTGATGAATATACCTGGAATTCCGCACGATGGTTTCCAGGAGTGACCACGTGGAGGTCGACATAACGGTATATTGCTAGCAATGGGGCTGGTAGTCCGCATTACTAACAATCCACCTACCATTCCATTATCCTCAATTAAAAAAAATCGTCGCGAATTTACAAGGAGTTGACTTATTTTTTATACAACTTAGAATGGCAAACAAGCTGACGGCCCACCTGATGGAAAGTGGTAACCGTCGCCTATAGACATGAGCAGTACCATGGACATAACAGAGTATACAGTTTCGCCCATGATACCCCCCTTGCGTTGCCATTCCTGAGGACACAGGTGTTATTTCTCTGTACCCTGTAAATACACACCATATCCCACCCTTCAAACCGAAACACAGCCATGCGAACACAACTGCTTCACGGTTGAAACACGAATGGGACAGAGGTACCCAAGCAATCGACTTTTGTACAAAGTCTCGATGTACTAAGTACGATGGTCAAGGGAAGACTCCGTGGAAGTTGTAAGACACATCGGCATTGTCACAACAGACGTTAACTGTCCGCTGCTGAACTCTCCTGCTCCCCAATACCTCTTTATTGGGGAAACAGAAGAGTTCTGCCAGGGTTTTATTAGTAGTTGCCACGCATGATATTGTTTTTAATGGTAATGGAATGGTAACCCCGCCTGCGCTAACGATATACGCTGGCGGAGCACCAGTGAAGGCTGATAGATGAGAATGAAAACAGGCCAGTTAGCCCATCATGATGAATTCATCAGGAATTAAACATGATAGTTTCCAGGGAGAACCGCGAGGAGGTCGACCTGGTTGGGTATATTGCTAGCAATGGGATTCTCAGTCTCCATTACTAACAATCCCTTTCCCCCCAGTGAGGGATGTTAGGTGAGGATGAAGCAGGTCAGCTAGCCTATCGTGACTAATTTAACAATAAATTAATAACAATAGTTTCCTGGGGAAACTGCGTGGAGGTCGACCTGATAGCTTCTTTCCCCGACACTTAATATTTGTTACCAATGATAATCTAGTGGATGATAATCTAATGGCTACACTAGATCCAGTTACTAACATTTCATATCCCAAAGGTCAGCAAAAGCAAGAGTAATACTTCTAGTGTTGCACGGAACTATACTAGGTAGAATTGTGACCGTTCCCTTACTATCAGACTAGTCGTATGCTTTTAAGCCACCTTTGTCGTATAAAAAAATATAATATATTTCACAATAAGATTATATACATAAGTTAAAAAACTTTGAAATTATCAATCAGTAATCTTATCAATATGGAAAACTCTGATAATAGCTCAAATTACTCACTTGTGAAATCTGTCTGTAGTCATTTTTATGTAAATAATCACTTAAAAATTAATTCATAGCCGAGTAAATCTTAACTTTACAAAGTTTATTCAACTCATGTTTTAAACGGATTCATTCACCAACACCGCGAAATTGCAAACCGCTGAGAAAGTTAGTTTTGACACACAACAGAATAAAGTATATTTAACTTGCACTATAATATACTAATTTGTAAATTTTGGTAAATCGATATGTTACTTTTTATTGAAAAATTAACACATATTCGTATAAGTACACGTAACGAGAAAAAAAAACACCCGTTCGACGTGTGAGAATCGAGAAAGACTATTGTTATTTCATTTGCTGACTGGCCGAACCGAATGAATGTTGATTGTCCACTTAGGTGGATAAGTTCATGTTACTCACCTTTACTAAAAAAAAAAATGAAAACGAATGAATGAATTGTTGAAAATCAAAAGCAAGCTAATTAAAAAGCAAGCGCTAGTTTATAGCGACACCTATTGACAAGGTAACTGAAGTATGTGTATGAACTACACAACACTGAATAGGTTATTAACAGTAAAGTATCTATTAGACAGTAGATGGCAGTAGCAGTCTATATTTCATTCTTCTTGGCTGTTCACAATGAAACAAATGGCATATAAGTAATTTGTATAATATCAACATTTCTGTTTTGTTATTTGGTCTTTTTTATAATTATGCAATAAGACTTGTCGTATTAAGCATACGATAGATGGTAAGAAGGAGCCACTGCAGCATAATTTGACACAATCAAAAACGTAGTATAGCGTCTTCAGGTAAGGTCACAATACAAGAGGGATTTTATTTTTTTGTATAATAAGTAGGAATATTATCCTACCTTTTTAAAAAAAATAAAAGCAATGTTAAAGAAATTTTATCTCAATGTAGCCAAAAAGTGAAAAATTCTTTTTTAATTACCTATTTTGAGAAATGTTATATATAAGTACTAAAACTTTACTCTCTTGATCTGAATAACACGAACAATATATAATATACCGAAAATAAGAGAGTAACTCGCTTGATTTGGCGGCTTTTATCAAACTACCAACTTTTATGAAATTACTGAGTACCAATCAATCTTTTAAAAACACTAGAATGTACAAATTGGACAAAATGTATAATAATTTTATTTTTAAAATTTGTGTTAATTTTTTAATTATGTACTCGTATATACATTCAGAATGTGAGTTTTATGAATTTACTTTGTCGCTCTCGACAATCGTTTCGACTTCATTCGGAAATCTTTTCTAAGGAGCGTAAGGTACTTTACGTCACAGCATCTCGTCTCGCACTGCGGATTGTACACGGGTTGCAGCTCGCAGAGACTGTGAAGACTGAAGTAAGTTTCATAAAATTTCTGTTGTAAATGTATATAGACAGTATGTTTATTATCTCCGTAATAATGTACCTATATATATTATATAATCATGTGATCCATTTTAGCCATCAATGTTAATTGTTCGACTTTAAATACTAGGCTGTGAGTAACAATCTCGAAACGAAATAGCAATCGGAGATGGAAGGTCGTGGTAGTAACAGTGGTAGTCAATCTTCTAGTCACACACATACTAACGGTATTTATTTATTTAACTCTTTATTGCACCATAAATAAAAATATACAATGACAATTGAACAATTTAAGTGAAATACAGTAACATAAATACAGATTGAAATATACACATAAAGGTACAAAAGGCGGTTTTATCTCTAGGGCAATTGGTAACGGTAGTGGAATTAAAAAAATTATAATCAAATAACCAGTAATATAGACTTCCGCAAGGTAACACCTAGTTGCGTAAAATATTTTCTTTTTAATTAATGACTGCGTTAAATTAAAAGCTAACTAAACTAATGCTACATAACATAATTGCTGCAAATTACACAAATGACCTACTACGGTAAGTTATTTAAGTACAGAAGGCGCCGCTCGGCAAATATTTGCCATCCATTATGGGCATTATCGTATTAATGTGTTTTACATGTACCTAACTAAGTACCTTTCGAACCGTGTATCTCTGATTAGATCCCTTTGATGTTCCAGAGCTTTTATCTGTAAGTGATAGGTGACAACCATATCAATGAATAAACTATTAAATATGGATAGATACTTAATAAATAGGATATATAGGATATATATATATATATAAATTATTATTTGTCATATTATTTTTTACATCATATATGTTTTGCCTTATAAACAAAGCCTATAGATTATTTTCCTTTCGGTTTCTTGAGGTTGATGGCTGTGTATTTTTTTTATAACTTAACATCTATATTAAAAGTGATTGTACAAAAAAATATAAAAAGGGCTTTTGCCCACAGCTTCGCTCGCGTGTGGTACACTTTTGTACCCTATTTCACGCCTAGGGGTAATTTTTTTAAAAGCCAATAACATAATAATTTTGGTTCTCTATCTAAAATTTCACATGTCTAACTTTTATACTGAGAAAATTTCATACAAACTTTCAATCTTCATTTTACCCCCTTAGGGGTTGAATTTTCGAAATTTCTTAATGTTTACCTAGGCTACTTACTATATACAAAGAGCCTATTTGCAAAATTTAAGATTCTAGATTGAGCGGCTTCAGCTATGCATGGATTGATATATAAGTTAGTCGCCCATAAGGAGAGGTTACAAATAGTTACGTTTGGCAGGCGGATTACCAACCGCTGTTAGGCTTTGGTGATATTTAGGGACGCTGCTGCCCATCCCTCGACCATTGAGTTCCCTTAGTCGCCTCTAACGACACCTACAGGAAAGAAAGGGAACGTACACATGTTATTGTAAAATCAAAACCAATTTTGGTGATTGTACTTTACTATGTGGACGTAGGATCCTGTAAAGACATGGTAACAAGGAAATAAATAAATAACAAATGAATGAAAACCTAAACTTCTTCTTTAATGAGGTGATCCAGAATATTCCTTTTTTATCAAATAACAAGAAAAATTAATTTGTTTCGGTAAAATCAGTCACGAAAATATTGATATCAAAATATATCTTTGGGAATTTAGATTTTTTTGGGATCGATAGGTTTATTTGCGTGTTGGTGACAAATTATTTATGACATTGTTTTTTTGTAGAAAAAAAAACGTTGAATTATATTTTTTAGGGAGTATATAAAAACTCCCCACTTTATTACGGCAAACTCTGTTCAGAATTGTAATTAGCTCGAAATATTCTCGATAAATCCACATGTAACAATGTAATAACGTCATAATCCCCGTCAGATGATTGCCTCGTCACGATATATCTTTTTTATGTCCGTTTATCGCCCGATAATATAATAATCATATCACGCTGACAATAATGGCATGCCAAATAAAATCTACCTACCCTATATTTCACATACTATTAAAATATCGTAACGTATTTAATGTGGTAAAGCTAAAAGTTAATACAATTCCTAATTCTTTATCCGTTAGGTGGATTATTGAGAGACAATAGTGGTGCTCTTAGGCTTTTTTTCTATATTAAAAAAAGTGCGATGTTCCAAAACAGAACGTGTACAAATTGGGCGAAGTCCGGAGCGCTCGGGAAAGCAATATGTTTTTATTTCTTTTTAATTTCCGGTTCGTTTTAATGGCGTCGAAATCAATATAATGGTGAAGCGGCCAGCGCCATTTTCGCATTTTGTGGTTTTGCTCATTTAAAGTCATTGAGCATGCTTAAACTGTGGGATGTGCAGTTAACGAGTTGTCATTAAGCCTGTTGGTATTTTGTTGTTACAATTTCTTTTTTCAATTTTAAGATCCAGTCTGTACACGGTATTTGTATATTTTTTTTGTACACATGCTATTTCTGTAATAGTAAATGTAATAATTGTAAAATGTCGTATCATAAAAGTCTGTAACAGATATATATATATATATATATATATATATATATACATATATAGTACTAATTATTCAATAATGCACCACCTACATATTTCTCGGAAGAAAATTATAGCAATACTTGATATTATTCATATAATATAAACATATAATTAGACTACTTAATATAAACATACACATAATATATTAAATACATAAATAAATACATAAAATATTACTATACAAAACAATTAACTGTAATAAAAGAGCAAATAGTAATCTATGGTTCAAACAAAGTAATCAACAAAATTAAGTTTAAAAGGAAAGTGATTTTTCTAAGAAATAAATGCGGAACTCTAAAGAAGAATGAAAATGAAGTTGGAATTATTAAAAAAACAAAACTTTACATAGCTATCTATGCTTTCGTTTCACAGCGTTGCGAAGAGCGTAAAATTATGTTAGCTTAACTTGAAAGTGTTTTATGAATGATTCCCCACAAATCACGGCTCAAAAAGGAGACTAATATAATAAAAATATCACGCGGATCCTTTTAAAATTCTGTTCGTCTCCCGGCGTTCCATCGGGTGATTGCATCGAGCCCCGGGCAGATATTTTGTATTTTTAAGCGACTCCCAAACGCAGGAGGTTCACAATTCATCTATATATTTTTTTGTACGTATGTTACTCGATACCTGAACAGATTTCGATAATTTTGTTATTGTGAACGATAGGGTTCGCTTTCAGTATCGGTTATATATTAATCTTTATCATCCATAGATTACAGTAACCGTTTACCGTCAGACAGGCTGTATGCTTGTTTGCTACCTTTATGATATAAAAAAAAAACTTGGTTAATTGATTAGAATTATTTTGCACTGCACGTATGTATTACAAAATGACTATAAAAACTATTGAGCTGTGAAAGGACAAAATGTTGGTTTTTTTTTTGATGGGTGAAAATGGTATGGTAACCCCGCCTGCGCTAACGGGATACGCTGGCGGAGCACCAGTGAAGGGTGATAGATGAGAATGAAAACAGGCCAGTTAGCCCATTATGATGAATTCATCAGGAATTAACCATGATAGTTTCCAGGCAGAACCGCGATGAGGTCGACCTGGTTGGGTTTATTGCTAGCAATGGGATTCTCAGTCTTCATTACTAACAATCCCTTTCCCCCCAAAATGTTTGGTTACTTGAAACGACACGACGAATTTATGAATGATTATAATAGAAGGTAAGATAGAAGGAAGGAGGGGAAAGGGGAGACCAAGGCATAGTTACATCAGGTAGAGCAAGGAAAAAGTTAGTGTCGTGTCATATCAATAGGTGAAGAGACTTGCTGAAAATCGTAGCGAGTGGCAAGAGCACCACCGACAAGAGCGCAGCTCTTAAATAGGAAATGAAAGAATGTATTTATTTAATATTGTATTTGCAAAAATTTTAATTATAATTCATAGTTTGGGTGCCGAACTGTTAGTTAATACTAGGCTCCGGGCAGCGATCGATTAATTTGCCTGAAAATGCCT